TGAAAGTGGCTTACAAAAAGACACTTACACCAGAGTATTTTAAGGGGAAAAAATAGGAGTGAAGCGGAAGTAAGTACGAGAAGATGTGTAAGAACCGCCTCAGGATACTTGCTGGAGGTGGAGGGTTTGGGTCTGCAGCCAAGAAGGAAACAGGGTCCATTACCCGTCTTGCCATATTAATTGGGTTAAAAAAAATCAACTGCTTAGCTCAGGGCAACTATGACAAGTTCTGGAAGACATCATGCAATATTCTGAACAGTGTCTACATTACAGGAAAGGCAGCAGTGAATATTTTACTGTTCTTTGAAAGTTGTAAAGTAATTTATTTCCTCACTACAAAATTAATAGAGGCTCCATGTAGGGCACTTGGAAAATCATCATTTCAGGGAAAGATGCAAGCATGGAAACAGACATTAGCCATTTTTCCTCTCTCTGCCCAACCCCAGGTCTGGGAGGAAACTTACAAATAATAGGGGGAGACCTGCAGCTGGGATGGGAGCCAAGGAGAGAAGCCATCCAAATACCAGAAACTTGAAGGCATTCCCAGCACATAGAGAGCCAGTTTCACAAGGATGCAAAGCCCGCTGTGTGGCCTTGTAAGGAGTTGCAAAGATCCTCATAGTTAGAGGGTGAGGTAATAGATGCAAACAGGGCAGGAGAGGGTCAGGGAACTCCACACTAGTCACTTTGGCACTGCACTCATCTGACTTAAGGGCAGCTCTGAGGGGCAGGGTTAGGGGTGTATGTGATTGAGCTAAGAGAAGGTAGGAGAAGAGGGTCCCTACAAGCAGCACAGCCTTTCCATGGAGAAGAGAGCAGGTGGAAGCCTCCGGCACCCACATGTGACTGAGCAGCCACAAGGCAATGGGCAACTAACCCAAAGGAAAGGGGGGGGCACATTTTACTGGGGTTTTTTACTGCTTTTTATTAAACTGGTAGTTTCCTTAGCCAGCAACTCCAGAGAAATGGACAATTTCAAGACTTTTTAGGAAAAATAAATGTGAAAATAATTAGGAAAACATCTACTAATAATGAAGAGAGCTATGCAGTGCTAGATATTAAAACATAATATAAGGGGGCCGGCCGAGTTGCTCAGCTGGTTCAGAGCTCGCTCAAGAGTTTGAGCTCTGAGCAACAGTGGTTCAATTCCCGGCCTGAGCTGAGCAGTCGCTGAGCTGCCAACAGGTGGCAGGATGGCTCAGCTAAAATAAAAAATAAATAAGTAAATAAATAATTTAAAATAAAAAAAACAAAACAAAAACATACTATAATACTTCGATCATTTAAATACAATGATACTGGAACCAGGATAACCTATGTATAGCATATGGAATATCAAATCAGTAAGAAAAGAATAAATTAGTCAATATATGGTGTGCAAATATCTGTCTAACCATTTTATTTTTTTAATATTAGATCACTACCTGTCATAGCTAATTACAAAGTAAATTCCAGTTGGATTGAAAAGTGAAAATTTAAACATGAAAGGGTATGGGCGTGGGTAAAACTTTTATAATTTTGGTGAGGGGAACATCTTTCTAGGAATAACACAAAAGCACAAACAATAAGGAAAATAGATATAGTTTTTAATATACCAAAAAATTTTAATTTGTTATACAAATAATAAACATTGAAAACATACTGAAAAAGCAAATGGGCAAACAGAAAATATTTGTATACAACAGGCAAGGGGATGATAGCCTTCTTTAAAGCACTCTGGTAAAGGAATAAGAATAGATCAACTTAAAAGTTGGGCCAATAACATGAAAAAAATATTAAGAAACAAGAAACTCTTTTGACTACTAATTGACGAACTGCAGGATTAAACATTTGGGCAGGAAATGTTACCAGCTAGATAACAATACTAGAGAAAGAATCCTCTCAGTGTTGGGAGACTGTAAAGAAATAGGAATTNTTTTTACTGCTTTTTATTAAACTGGTAGTTTCCTTAGCCAGCAACTCCAGAGAAATGGACAATTTCAAGACTTTTTAGGAAAAATAAATGTGAAAATAATTAGGAAAACATCTACTAATAATGAAGAGAGCTATGCAGTGCTAGATATTAAAACATAATATAAGGGGGCCGGCCGAGTTGCTCAGCTGGTTCAGAGCTCGCTCAAGAGTTTGAGCTCTGAGCAACAGTGGTTCAATTCCTGGCCCGAGCTGAGCAGTCGCTGAGCTGCCAACAGGTGGCACGATGGCTTAGCTAAAATAAAAATCAAATAAGTAAATAAATAATTAAAAATAAAAAGACAAAACTAAACAAAAACATATTATAATGCTTCGATCATTTAAACACAATGATACTGGAACCAGGATAACCTATGTATAGCATATGGAATATCAAATCAGTAAGAAAATAATAAATTAGTCAATATATGGTGTGCGAATAGCTGTCTAACCATTTTATTTTTTTAATATTAGATCACTACCTGTCATAGCTAATTACAAAGTAAATTCCAGTTGGATTGAAAAGTGAAAATTTAAACATGAAAGGGTATGGGCGTGGGTAAAACTTTTATAATTTTGGTGAGGGGAACATCTTTCTAGGAATAACACAAAAGCACAAACAATAAGGAAAATAGATATAGTTTTTAATATACCAAAAAATTTTAATTTGTTATACAAATAATAAACATTGAAAACATACTGAAAAAGCAAATGGGCAAACAGAAAATATTTGTATACAACAGGCAAGGGGATGATAGCCTTCTTTAAAGCACTCTGGTAAAGGAATAAGAATAGATCAACTTAAAAGTTGGGCCAATAACATGAAAAAAATATTAAGAAACAAGAAACTCTTTTGACTACTAATTGACGAACTGCAGGATTAAACATTTGGGCAGGAAATGTTACCAGCTAGATAACAATACTAGAGAAAGAATCCTCTCAGTGTTGGGAGACTGTAAAGAAATAGGAATTTCTGTAAACTTCTGGTGGGAGCCATAAATTGTAGACCCTTAGGGGGAAATTTAGCAATTTTTGCCAAACTCTTCTGTTTCTGTCATCATAAGGGAGTCATTAGAACAATGCAAAGAGATACATATAAATTATTTATAATGAAAAATAGTTGGAAACAATTTAAATACTTAATAATATGCTATTGATGAAATTGGAGTTGGGTATAACCATGGAAAATATTATTTTATCAGTGCTTTTCAAGTTGCACTTCACACACTGGCGCCTGGAGGGCTCATTCTGTGGAACTGCTCCAGGACAGGGCTTAGAAGGTTCTGGCTGTCCTGCAGCTTTACCCTGACCTACTGGGCTTCCTGCTCTGAGCTCAAGATAAAATTCTATTTCAGGAAAAGCTCTTAAAGCTTGGAAAGCATATACATTATGATCTCATTTTTAAATATGCAATCTATATATTAAATATGAATGCATCATCAAAATTTTAATTGGCTATTTCTGGGTGGTGCCCCTACGGTGCAATGGAAGGATGCCAGACAGACCAGCGGTCCCATACCTGCCTTGGAGGGTCAGCAAGGTAATCAGAGACACTCATTTGCACAGCAACCTATCAAATGTATATGGCAAACTGGTCTCTCCAATACTCTAAGAATGGAAGCATCAACATTTCAAGTCAGGTGAGTTAATCAGAGAAGACAAAGGGAAGTAGAAATTGGGGAGCAGGGACCTTCTGCAAAGCAGCATGCCAGCTTCTGTGCAAGCATTTTCCCTGTCACCCTTGCATCAGCGCTAGATGCAGGTCCTATTATCCCTGTTTTACAGATGAGGAAACTGAGGCCCCGAGCGGTCCAGAGTTCCCCTCACACAGTGAGCCTTTCCTATGTTAGACTCCTAGTGTGCTCCCAAAGGATGCTTCCAGATGCCCAGCCATCCCTCTCTTTTCTTTGAGCAGAAAAGCAAGCCAAGGTCCTCATCGTGGCTGCCTGGAGTCTCTCTTTCCTGTTCTCCATTCCCACCCTGATCATCTTTGGGAAAAGGAAACTCTCCAACGGCGAAGTGCAGTGCTGGGCTCTGTGGCCTGATGACTCCTACTGGACCCCGTACATGACCATTGTGGCCATCCTGGTGTATTTCATCCCTCTGACAATCATCAGGTAAGAGGCCAGCAGGCCAGGCTCACACAGAAGCTTTCCTCCCCTGCTTTCCCAACCGCTGCTCTCCTCCCCTACAGGTCACTCATTGTTCCTAGTGTTCTTGAGGAAACTGGCCAGGCCACACGATTTTATCTAAAGCTTGTGCTGAGCCCGACTCCTCCAAAGCAAGCAGCAGGGAACTCACATTTTCCAGGTGTGGAGTATGGGAGAGACATTGTGCTAAGAGGCTAACAGTTATCCCGTTAACCACACTACCCTTCTCTGGAGAAACGCCCACATGTGGGCAGGTATATGTGTTGTGTATTGTAGCATTGCTTGCTTAGCACAGCAGGAAGTCAGTGCTAACCTTGGTCTCCCTCAGTGAAGGAATGGCTAGCTGTCCTTTGGAGAAATTTCAGTGGCTTAGATTTATTGATTGCATACTATGTGCCGTTCATGATTCTCAGTTCTTTACATACGTTAAAACTTTAATCCTCACAACAGCTCTGTGAGGTAGGTTCTGTTATTATCTGCATCTTCCAGTCTGGGCAATTACAATGCAGAAAGTAAGAGTAACTTGCCCAAGGTCACACAGCTAGTAAGTTCAGGGGCAGGATTTGAACTCAGTCTGGGTCCAGCTCAGTCACCCTTGCCTATGACATACCCAGCTTCTCTCAATGAGGACGTGGTAGAGCCGTGGACAGTCATATGCTCGACATAAAAATATCGACATCTCGTGTTCAGTGATAAAAACAACAGGCATAATAATCCATGCAGTGTGATAACATTAATGTAAAGAAAAAAACTCAAAGCAATGCTAGATATTGTCTAGAGAGAGAGAGACACAGAAGGGCAAAGGAGAGAATGCAAGAAAAAGGGAGGTCCTGGTACAAAGCACATTTGCCTGCAAGGATGCACAGCAGCTTGTCCTCACGTGTGCGGACGGGAGTTGGACGAGTCAAAGTGACCGCAGGGATTTACAGGCAGGAAAGGAGTTTGTATATGAGAAACATATCCATGTGTAGTATGCAATTACAGGTAATTTAAAAATAGAATTTGTAGGCTTTTCGTGCGTGTGCACACACGTGTGCATGTGTGNCCCTAAGCCTGCCAGGGTGTGTCACATAATTTGTCCTGGCCAAAGGAATATCAGCCTTTGGTTTTAGATGGTAAAAAAATAATGTTGTGATAAAAATCCTTGGATTTAAGATAACTCATGAGTCTCTGACTATTTCCTCAGAACTCATTCTAGTGGATTGCTACATCAAAGGCAATGCTCATTTTAAGACTTGGATGGATATTCATAAACTGCCCTGCCACCAACAAACACAAGCTCTGCGTTTTCTTTTCCCCACCCAATGGAAGCTGGTGCCATTTCTTTATTAAACTTTGCCAAACATAAAGGCTAAAAAAGTATCTCATTGTTTCAACATGCATTTCTTTGATCAGTGAGTGGTTAGATATTTTTCAAGGGTTTTCTGACATGACGGAATCACTTGTTCTTGCTCTTTGCTCATCTTTCGTCGCAAAAAATTCTATATGAATAAAGCTGGGGAAATGTTATCCATCACATAGCTCAGCCCCTGAATTTTTTACAAGAACAGACTTAGGGCTAAAAGAAGCGAAATGACTTGCTCCCCATCAGAGCGTGAGCTGGGCGGAGCAGAGCGATCCCCGTAGCCAGCCCAGCAGCCCTGCCGAGACGTGGTTGTCCAATCATCTCTGCTCAACTGACAAATTAACATCTATATTTTATTTCAACTTAACATCCCCCTCTCCACCAAGTTGAATTTGGGAGGAATCCTGAAGGAAAGATGAAGGTTATTTAGACATCCAATCAAAGGTAAGTCATAGCAGCATGAGAAGGGGCAGGTGGAAGAGAGAGGCTAGTCCCAGCCATAAGACAGCATGTGCAAGGAAGTGGCCCAGGCTGTCACGGGCAACTGACTCATCAGTTTCAGTGGCAGTTGCATGTCCTGGCTTCTCTCCTGATTGATTTCCTATCAGCTCCTGAAATCAGTCAAAACCCTTGCTCAGCTGGCCGCCTTGCATGAACTACAGCTCACGATACGCTGCTGGCCCGGTCTGTCAGGCGGATCTTTCACTGTCTGAAATTTCCCTCATGAATTCGAGCTGCATCCAACTTGTACATTTTTGTACTGTTTTTGGAAAAAGCAAAATATAATTTGATGATTAAAGGGGATAATTTCAAAAGTGGGTTTCACTCAGCCCTCATCAAGCTAAGGCCCCCTTGAATCCTGCTCCTTGCTTCCCACTGAGGCAGAACCAAGAATATTCAGTGACCTCCCCCTGTTCTTGAACTTCTCTGAAGCATTTCCTACCTGCTCAGTCAGCATCTTCACTCTCCCACAGTCAGACGCCCTCTATTGTTGAAAGAGCTTCTCTCTGGAAGACCTGGCTTCACCCTTTCAGCTTCTCTGCCCTTCTTGAAATAAGACCAGGCCCAGAGGGAATTTTCCAACTAATTCCTGGAATAAGTTACTACAGTTCCATGTCTCTTAGAGCTCAAGTTCAGTACTCCTTCCTT